CCCCAAAACCCCAAAACCCCAAAACCCCGTTATATCATATATAAATAGAACTAGAAAATAAAATATTTACTATGGAAGATTATCGACTTAAGTTCTTCAAATGGACTTATGAGAAAGTCAAGAACATTGACATGTTCAAGCAGACTGTCAACCTTACTTACAAGGGAAAGTACCACTTCTCTAATTGAGTTGGAGCTCTCTGCACTTTAGGGGTTCTCCTCGCCTTGCTTGTCTATGCCATCGTGCTTTTTAGGGCGATGTTTAAAAGAACCAATGTGAGCTGGAACCATAACTCTGTGTATGTTAACTTGGCAGAAGACCAGTCTGACCTGGAATGGGCTGCGGATGACCCAGAGTTTAAGATGTATTGGATGGGTTTGCATAAAGAATTGATGCCTGAAGGATATGAGCCCGAACAATTAGGAGTTTCTGAAGTCTATAGTCTTTCTACTAATTATGAAAGGGATGACGGAATTTTTGAGCATAATAGAACTACTTTTGATAATTTTAGTTGAGATAATAGTTTTCCAGTTCTTCAAGATAAGAGTTATTCATACCATCAAGTCACTCCAGTCTGCCCACAATTGGCAGGCCAAAAGGTTCAAGGACGAGTGGGTCTTGGAAAATAACCACAAAGAATTGAACTTTGGACTGATGCCATGAATTCAAAGCAGTACAAATCTCTGAGTCCCTCAAAACCAAATGGAGCCATTGCTATCTGGCTCGTCCATATCCGTCCACCTGATGAACAGATATGTTGACTTGAACGACATAGACAATCCCATCAAAAGATTTTATGATGATGAAATCGAATTAGTTTTTAAACAGAACAAACATGTATTGGTGGATCTCAAACTCAGACAGCATGAGGTGATTCTAGAAGACTCTTTGTTGCCCACTTTCTCTGATCCTGACCCTATTTACTTCAATAGCATTGAGGACTACAAGTATTCTGAAGAAGAGATTGATGATCCTGGATATTTCTACGGAAAGGTCCAAATCAGAATCAGAAAAGACAGTCAAGTCGAGCAGCACAGAAGAAAAGTCCTTAACTTCCTCGAAGTCACAGGAATTCTTGGAGGACTCTTTGAGGTCTTCGAAATTGGAGTTGGAGTTCTCATCGGACTATACTCTTCGTTTATATTTAAAAGAAGCCTGTACAAAGATATTTCAAAATATGAGCAAAAGTTTGAAGCCATGGAGAAATGTATAGCCAAACTTGAAAACAAGATTCAGCAAAATAATCAGAACACTCAAAGTAAAGATCTTAATCAAGCTATGAGGATGAATGAATCAAATAACAAAAGCCAACACTTTTTCAGTAATTTGAAAAGAAAGCAAGAGAGCAAAATTGAAGAAATTGAAAACCTTGAAGAAGCGAAAGAGCAAGTCAACTATGAAGAAAGCAAAGAGTTAAATAGTAAGAATTTTCTCAACTCTAACTAACCATTTAGTGGAACCTGAGAACGTCGAGGAGAGCAAGCTAAGATCGGCTCCTTTAAAGGTACCAAAGTTCGGACTTTTTGCTCAGACTGAGAGCAATCATGAAACCATCGAAGAGCGTAAATAAAACCTTACTTGGCTCTCTACTGTCTAAAGCCACTAAGTCTGATACAGAAGTCGAGAAGATGAAAGAGTCTTTAGACTGCCTAAACATAGTCTACATGATCAAAGTCCTCCGAAGACAGACCCAATACCTTCTATTCAAAGACTCTGACTACCAATCTCACCTAAAATCCCACCCTGAACTAGACTTCCACTGCTCAACCCCCTTAGCCCACTTCCAGCCTGGAGCCATCATTGACTTATGTAAGGCCAAGTCCCAAAGAATCCAGCCGTACCGCACAGAGCTATAATATAAAATTTCTTTCATACATTCAGTCCTAAAGTTCAGTCCAGGGGTTTTGGGGTTTTGGGGTTTTGGGGTTTTGGGGTTTTGGGGTTTTGGGG